TTTTTTTTTTTTGAAGTAAATGATTACTTCTTGACGACAGTGATATTTAATTTCCTGCGTACAATTTTTTGACATTTCTGTTTTTTTTTTTTCATTTGTATTAAGGTTTGGAGGACCTTCCCTTGTTTTACGTTGTTCCCAGTAATAGATGATTTGTTGTAGAAGCTTTTAACTGGAGTATTCAAACATCTTAGACTTGATGTAAGAAATCTGAAAGATCTTTTGAACAGTTTCGGAGACTTTTGTTTGACAAAGAGAATTGAGTTAAGAAGTGTGGGACTGGTGCTGGGGCCATTTTGATTGTGCAAAGATTTCAGATGATACAAGTGTACCAGAAGTGACAAGAAATGTTGTTGTAGAAAGTTTTTTGCTTTGAAATTCTTTGTTGGTTGCTACCCCCTTGCTGCTAGGTAATTTTTGTTTTGAAAGATTCGGTGAAAAGTTTTCTGGTCTATTTCAACCCGCATTGGATAAAAAATGTCAGTTGAAAATCAGAGAACTTTTTAACCTACTTGACATTATTAGCTTACGGGTTGTTGTAAAAATCTTTTTGAATGAAATGATGGCAACGGATAACAGACAGACGACACCATTTTGACATTCTGGGACTATAAGGAGGCAGATACAGAAGTCACTCTACCGCTACAGGAAGGCAATTCAACTTACTGTAAAGACTTCTTAAAGAATGGAGTCCATCAGTCTGAGCCTGGTTTAACCTGAACTAATTTCTTAAATAATTTGTACGGCGTAAAACATCGTGAAATTTGTGTGTGACATTACGACATATGATAGTTTTTGGATCAGTTTTGGTTTAAAAACATTATTTACATATCCCTTTTCTTTTCCCCAAATTTAGCACTTGGCGACTGTAATGTTTTGACCAATTTGCTGGTTGCCATATTTAGTGTTTTTTTGCATGAATAACATCCTATGGAGTTCCTGTTTTAAAGAACAATTAGCTTTCATTTTAGTATACTCTCATTGTTTTAAAAATACTTTCCTCCAGAATTTTTAATTTTGTCGTATTGACCTTTCAGCATTATGTCACAGTCGGCCTCTGATGACGGAGATTTGCTCGTCACAAAAGATATTGGCTTACCGAAGCTGGAGGACACGTTCACTCTAAACCAGCTGGCGCACAAGAAAGATCTTGAAGCACCAAAATGTAAGGTTTCATTTTATTTTCTTGGAGACTATTTTAATTCGTATGGATTTCACACTTATTTATCTGGAGAAAACAGTCAGTAAGATTGGGGCTTGAAAATAAAGTATATTTCATTGATCTCTTACAGTATGTCGGGAATGTCTGTTTAATGTTTTAGATCAGCAAAGAGGTTTTCTTCACTCATGGAGTTTCTGTTTTATGCTCACGTCATTTCTCATAAAATTTCAGTGAAAAACCTCAGTTTATTTAGTTTTGGCGCAACTTTTTTTTGAAGCGAGTAAAGAGGGACAATGGAGGAGGTTTAAATGGTTCTTGGGTTTTCAGGTTTTTTTCAGTCTTAATTTGTTACATTGGCAGTTACTGCAAAGAAATGAGTTCTTATTTGGAGTATCGGTAGAGAACGGTCTCTATTTGTGAAGTGACTCTTTACCACCCATTTTCTCTTTAGTAGTAGAAAAAAGTTGTGAGTTCTAGTGAAGTCACAGTATTTTTAATAAATTGTTCAAAAAACAGGTGTTCACTTTAATCTGCTCATTTTAACGGTAAAAAGTTGGGTATTCTAGTTTTTCTGTCTTTAAATGAATGACCGGAATGACCAGTTTTGTCGTAAAACTGGTTTTTTTGCTTTTTTATTTTTGAAGTTTGTAATCTGAGAGTTAACTGTTTTTGACTTGTCGATCCACGTGTTGTAGGTAGTCTGTCCCAAAAAAATTTTCTGGAAATTGACTCTGTTAAAAGCAGCATACTTAAGAGTTTACAGGTTTGAAATTTCAGAATAGTATTCTTTGGTTGATTTTTATTAAAACTTCCATGGTTTTGTTGAAGTTGTGTTTTAAGCATATATATTAATTCAGAAAACATTTGATATTATCAGCTGGGTAAATATGACCAGTGAAGCGCTTAAAGTTGAAGTAATCAACATTAGGGGCACAGTATTTTAGTCTATAGGAGCTAAGTCTTGCAAAAAATGAAGAATAAGAATTGAAACCTCTAGAAGCAATAAACTTTTCCAAGGTAGTTTTTGATGCTTATTAGGCAAGTAATGTTTAACAGCAGTTTTAATCTCTGCAGTAGCTTTAGTCGCTTTTTTTCCGTTTTCCCATTCATAAGGAAACGAAAAGTCTGTATTTAAAAGAACAAAGAGTAAAATTTGCAGAACCTAAAAATGCTTTAAATAAGTTTAAAAGCCCTTAGAGAAATGGATAAACCAGGGCCAGTGTGGTCAGTACTTTTTGGAAAAGTTCAAAAGTAAGATTGCTTTTTGAACTGGTACAATACTTCTAATGTAATAATGTCACCTCTCTGTACTGGATGGAGTATAACACAAACTTCAAAGACATTTCATTCGATGGAGTTGATTTCGATAAAAGTCCACATCTAACGAGTGCAGTTTATTGCTGCCAGAAGAGTGTTATGAAGTTAGGGGAGCAGGCTCAACTGGTCTTCCACCCTTGAACCATATGATTATTAAAATTGACTGTAAATTTCTGCTTCAGTTAAACATCATCTAGCTAAACTGCTAGAGTGTCGGTGAGATGTAGATATATAAGATTGCGCTAATGCTACTTAACAGCCTTTATTCAGAATAATTCTAGAATTTAAGGAACGGCAATTTTGTTTAAAATGATCATTTTGGCGGAGGAATTACACTGTACGTAAGGTCATAAATGTTTTTATGGCTCTACAAGCGTTTTGCTATTCTTATATTAAACTACGGAGTAAAATGAATTGAATGTTTCTAGAGATAATCTGTAAACAGCGCTCACTAAATATAAACGTTATTTACAGTCATTTCGAAACATGTAGACCACGAGCTTTTGGCAGATCATTCGAGAATTAAATCTTCATTGGCTGATGTTGTTGAGCAGAAACGCGTTATTTGCGGCAATGCCTTTGGCACACATTTTGCCAAGTAAGTTTGCTGTTAGTTAGCGGAATTAATTCATAACTCTTTTCTGGAGTTCTTCTGTGGCAGGTGTAGGTAGCAGTTAGAATGGAATTTTTTTAAAAATATTTTTTTTCCAGACCTTTGAAATTGTGAGCTTTTATTGTGGCTCTGATGATTATTTTAAACTTTCAGTCGAAAACATGATGGTCGGAAAGCTTAAGTTTTGTTTTTTAGAGAATTGTCGACAGCAGCACTTATCAATCGTGGCCCTCCTGGTCTTTTCGGATCTTCTCGGTTACATCTTGATATTTTGCTGGGAAGAGATGAAACAGTTAAGCCTTGCGACTATTTAGATTTTAACAACGATGCAGTTCTGTGACTGTTTTCAGAATTTAATGTTTGGGGTCGACTACAGAACTGTGCTTTACTGAGCTGCTTAATTATGGGCGCTTGGAAATTGACATGAATATTGATTTATTGCGCAAACTTCGTTTTGAGTTTATGAGAAAGTTGTTTGTCTTATGATTGGTTTCTTATGAGTCTAAGCCGGTTCAAACTGTTATTATTCTGTTTCTTGTCTTTATTGTGAATAAAGTATTTTGATTATAGTGGTTCTTGTTTTTGTTTTTGGATGTGAAACCATATCTTGACTGAGATGTTTATGCTTGCAGACGACGTTTTAACATGTGATCCTAGATGACCAAAGGCTTTGGTCATCTTTTACTGACTGCAGAGTTGTCAGTCT